GGAGAGGAATAAAGGTAAATAAATGCAGATAAATAGAGAATCTTGGAACCTACTATGATCAAGAGGCGCTGGCACGAATTGTCTGCGTGACAGATGTCGGGGTTTGAATAGTTAGCAACACAAGAGGGAATCAGATTGACTTCAGCTGTGACATTATGACTGCATTATCTATCTCGTGTATGCATGGAATCTGTTGCACTCCTTCAAATACTGGTTTATAATGTGATTATAAGTGCACTGATGAATGCGTTGAGTGAGATGGATTGCCTTGTGTAATTTATTTAGAGTCTTGGCGGCTTTAATGAGTCGCTGCTGGCTACTGTGACGAAAAATAGGCTACGGCGGTGCATCAAAAAGCATCGATTGAACCATACTGTTGTCTTAACTGTCAAAATGGTTTCGTTGCGACGTGATCTCCAAAAGAATTGAGGGTGGCCTGGATGGAGAAATTTAGGCCTATAAATCTACAGGGCATGAATGTGCCTCGTGGACGCTATGGACGCACAAACGAAGCTCCGTGGTGCACACTCTTGGGTTTGGGTGCGCTTACTCGGCGTGTGGTAAGGCGGGCAAAAGCCATTATTCTACCGGTTTGTTAGAGACTTTGCCTTTTTTCCACAAAACAGTAAAACAATCGAGCATGTTTTAATTTAGCATGCATAATCTAATTCATTAACTTGCGTAGTTTTGCATGCAACTGCTATGGGAACCGTGGGCAAAGTGCACCCTGATTAGATTGGAGCAAATTACTTAGGCACGGTAACATTTGAATAGAGTTTACACAACTAAACATGATTCCAACTGAATCACATCGCATGGATATACGACTAATTCACCTGTCCGCATAGAAAGTACCTTGGTAGTTGGATGTGAAGCATCCTGCTGATGTTAAAACAGCAACATTGCAGTACTAATATCAATAATGATAGCAATAACTGTAGGTAATATTTTAGATAAGTTTTGTGCAAAATGGATGCAAAATCCACATTTCTTATTAACAGGTGCATGAAGCTAACAGCAAAGATCAGTGTACACTTGGCTTTCAGGTAGCACCCAAACTGCATTTCGGCTAATATATTCAAAACGACAAATCTAGCCTCTTCACGTAGACAACTTATTTGGTGCCATGAAATCAACGTGAAATTCTCATCACATGGCTTGCCGGTCACTCCGCTGTGGTGCTTTTAATGTGAGTAGCATTGACAGCTCATTGTGACAGTTCCGTTGAACACGGTGGTGATCACTTAACCCACAACCATTTCATTGGCATTCACTTCAGTCAACACCTATTTTAATGGTGATAATTTTTTGCAGACCCACAGCAGTGTCGTAGTGACGCGTTCTTGAGGAGATGTCTGTGTTACACGCACAGCTGCGTATTGGCAGATTTTTCTGATCCGAGAAGCACACCGCCACTGCGATAACGAAGACGGCTGCAAACACCACCTAGCA